TTGTCGCACTACAATTTGTAGGAACAATATTCCAAAACGTTTCATTTTAGTTTTAAAAAGGCACATTTTTGGCGTAATTTTTTTCATTTCAAATGTTCTCCTCAGTCAAAAGACAAAATATGATATAATGTTCGTTCTTATTTTCCGAAGATTACGTTTTAAAGTCTGTTATACAAGTAGTGTATTTTTAATTTTGCATGAATTAAAATTGTTCCAAAAATGTTTGTTTTACAATTTGTTTTGAATACTTGGGTGTTACATGAATCATTTTCTCTGTGTACGTTTCAACTAAATATGTCAAATGTGAAACAAATCAGAGCGTAAATACTATCTCGAACGTGGTGCCACCTAACGATACCATTTTTTGCAAAACTGTTTCTGCTTACATAACCAATAGAAACTATAAAAACGGCAAAATCGGCATATAAATGAGTTAGATTTAGGACTTTTTTTCGCGGTAGACTTTTCGCTGGAACCGCCCAAATGTGTATCTTCTTAATTTTTTTTTTTTGGAACTACTATAATTGTTGGAGGAGGTTCTTTTATTTTTGCATATGCCATGAGGCGGCCGCACAAATAATTTTGAGAAAAATAACTGATCATGTTCCGAGGTAATTCGTCTATGTATCTGTTAAAAAGCTTTTTTCTATCCAAAAGGATTCAACCAAACCGGGGACAATGTAAGTACCCAGCAGGAAATAGCGTCCCCAATGGAGCGCCTCTTGCAACAGCGATCTCCCACTACTGTTTTGATACTTGCAAGTTTTTTGCGTTTTGGTACTCCTGTGGATATTTTGCTCTCTGAGAGTGAATGCTAGCAAATTCTCAGAATTTTCGCTGCGGGATAATATTGACTAAAGAATACGAGATAAATGTGTATCGAATAAAAATGTGTTCTGATGTTGCGAACCACATAAAATTAGTTTTCACCAATACACATGCAATTACAACATATATTATTTTCATTTTTATTCAAATAAAATCAGCTTCATTTAAAATTAGTCCATCTAGAGTTATATTAAAGTGAGATTAGGAAATATAAACAAACATAAATTACTACAAAAAAATGCACGTTCTTAATCTTTGTACGCAAGCTTTAATAGCACAAGTTTACACGAGTGGCCAAAATAATAGATACTCCACATTTTGAAGAGTTTAGACTCTTTTCCTCTTGCTTTTTTATGTTCAATATTTTTTTAATGTATACATGGCTAATTATATAAAAACCACATATTTACTTAAATCCAAATTTCAAACTTAGTGTGATCACAGACTAAAAAAAATTGCGAATTTATATTAAAATTTTTTTTATTAGAATTTCTATAAAAATGTTTGGTATGCAGTTCTATAGCCTTCTAACATTTAGTGCAAGTGGGATGATGCGAAGAAATCCCGTTGACTTTTGATATTTTGCTTGCTGGCTGTATTGTGCATTTTCTTCCATATAAGCAAATTGAATCGAACATGCTTTGTATGGAAGGGAATCTATAACACCATCAGCGAAAAATCAAGAGGATTTATATTATTTTACATACTAAACTTTTAAATTTTGGTGTAATTTTGTTGAATTTATCTAGTTTTTTCAAAAATAATGAATTTTGAGAAAATTAATGAACATTAAACAAACGAATCATAAATAATAAAACGAATCAAAATGTCGAGCTTCTATTATATGGGCCATAGGTGTACATATTGCCATTTATGTAATATTGAATATAAGTAAAGCTAGATAATTAATGTCACTCACTATCACTTGTGTTGTGTATTCATTGATGCGTAGATAAATAATTGCAAATATTAAATAACTTACAATAGATACTTATATAATATGTATAGTAAAAAATCTCAAAAGCATTCAAAAATACTACCTGCATAATTGTAGAACTGAAAAAGTTTTTAACACATTGCGTTATTGGAGAAACCGAACAAGTAAAGGTAGATGTTTTGCGTATCCGAAATGGAATTTCTTTTTTTGAAATTTAGGAATGTGGAAAACTGCAAGTATTATCAAGTGTTTTGAATTACAAAAGAAAATGCATGCAGACAAATATGAATGAATGTACATACATCAGGGTGGTCCAAAAATGCATGTGACAAAATACTAGCGTATTTTCATGGATCGCCCATCGTATTTTTTAGGTTTTCAGGCCTCCTATAAATAATAGTTAATAATAGAAAATGGTTAAATAAACAATGGGGTATTGTTACTGGAAGTCTCCTGCAGAAAAATAAAGTTTTCCGATCGAAAAATATTGATTTTCAAGAATTCTATACCATTTCTACGAAAACTTGTTTTTCCACATATAAAATACATGGAAAACTTTGAGCGCATTCCTAGGGGGTAAGGGCATTAAAATTTCGCCTTTAATTTTTTGGACCACCTTGATGTACATACATATGTACATATGTATATTGAATATTATACATTATCGCATTGATTAAAAAAATCATTAATAGTACTAAGAATAATGTAAAATTCGGCAGCCAATCTAATACACAATCTATCAATATTAAAAACCCAACCCATGAGCGAATGCAATTGTCAAAGAGAAATTCAAACACCATACTTTTTACCTACTTAAACATATGTAGATACTTTATGTACATTCGCAGAGACTTTTAAATGAAAGATAACAGATATTGCAGCATGAAAATGTTTAGTCACTTAATCGCATACGTATTTATACTCATTAACATCCATATACTATGTATGTATAAACCATCAATTATGTATGAATATCCCTGACAATTTAACGATTTAGGCTTCTATTGCAGAGAAAAAACAGAATTCAATAAATAAAACGAAAATGTTTGAAAAAATAAAATTTACTTTATTGAAAGCCTGCCTTTTGAAAAAACTTGGTAATTCGTTTGAGAGGAGTACGGCGCTCATACCCACATAAATGGCGCATGACGACATAGCCGAAGCGAGATGAAGCAAAGCCGATGTAGTTATTGGATCGAATGCAAATTCGAGGCACTCGTGCTGGGAAGCTCAGACATCAACGCGAGGGGTGAGTCTTTTTTTGATTATATTCTAAGTGAAAACTCAGGTATCTGTAATAGAGAAAATGAGCCCAACTTTAGCATTGCGACCAAGCAAGTGATCTTGGCCTTACCCCCAGCCTCGTCTTCTGTAATATCCCGCATTTACGATTGAATGGTTCTTGATGATCGCTCCTTCTCGGATCATATATTCAGTTTTCTCTGCACGAAGATCGTTCTAAAACTATCCCCTTTAGAAATTTTAGGAGAACAATTGTGACCCCTATAACAAAAAGCTGCGGGAACTACTCCCAGAGGCCCTCAGGAGAGCTTAAGCACCGAAAGCTCGATTGATGATGTTATGGAAAAGTTTACAGCCTGTAAGAGCGCCATCGATAATGGTGGACGATGACACTCTCGAAACCCAGGGTGTTTCGAAAACCAGGAAGAGAACCCCAAACCCACCCCTTGTGTGCGCTAATGAATTTATGTGAACAACATTTTCGAAACAGATTATTAGTTTAGGACAGGGGCGCACCCAGGAATATATTTTGGGAGGGGTTTATACTTCTGAAAATTCGCTTCAGATAAAATGATTATTAAAGTACATTTATGCAAGTTTTATGTACAGTGTGTAATAAATAAATAAACTTTTTGAAGGGGTAGGTTATCAATTCGTCGGAATAGTATGCTAACGCATAACTTTGAACCACGTGAACCGATTTCAATAATTCTTTTTTTTTTTATCGGAAAGATGGTATCTCAAGGGTCTTCCCGTAATTTGAAATTACTTGTTTAATATAAAGTTCTATAAACACCAGATGCGCTCAACTTGCAAAAGTAATAAAAAAATAAAAAAAAAGAGTTTTAATGTTCATTTTCCTCGATATCTGGTTTCTGGTTTTCGAATGAGATGGTGATTTTTTACGATTGCCTAATTTTTTTAATATTTATAATTAAGTGAACTTGAATTTTTGTTATGTAGGCAATTTTGGTGGAACGAATTCGAAGTGGGCAAACTAAATCTTCGAATCCTTGTTAAGGACATATCAGTTGTAAACTCTTTTAGGCTCAGTAAGTGAGTATGCATTGCATATTTTTAGGTTTCATTCGCAGTTAAACTTTTAAGAGCTCTCAAAAAAAAACGAAAAATTCATATAAAATGGCGCACAAGAAATGGAATAGGAATTTTCCTCTATCAAAATATCTTAAATCAATTTGCGTCTCTCAAGAAAAAAATGCTCGTTTATTTATATCTTCAAGAAAATTTACAGCAAAAGCAAAGTGCTTTATAATAAAAAATATTTCTTGTGATTTTTCTTGAGAGCTTGCTTTGGGATACAGTTTGTATTTCAGGTTATTAGCTTTAGGGGGGGGAGGGTTTGAACCCCAAAACCCACCCCTTGTGTACGCTAATGGTTTAGGAGCTTTTTTGAATAACTAGATTTGACCCAAACAGGGCAAGTGATTAAAAAGGAGCGTTTTGATTGTTCCTAGAAAATTATATTGATCTCAAAATAGAAGAATTCATTTTTAAACGTGTATTATTCTTATAGGAAAAATGGAGGCTCGATCCCCGACCTCTTAGAATTATCGTAGAGGGGGGATTCATGGAGGATACTTAGATCGCATTTCATGATTTTTTCTACATGGTCTAATGTACATATAACATGAACAGAAAACGTGATCAGAATTCGAAATAAATTTTTGCTTCAAATATCCAGTATATAAAATGGAATACTAAAAAATGTTTCAAGGCCATACGACTAATTTAATATTCTGTTTCTCTAGGCTTTAAAATACTTGCTTGGTTTGTGTCACAAAACCACAAGTGCATTAACCGCAAAGACAAACTGTAGCCAGTGCTACATATATATGTACATATGTACATACATATACTCCATTCCACACATTAATGACAGAGTATAAAAGCATATCACATTTCGAAATATGTTCAGAGATATTAGCTTGTTAAATCTTGCAAATTGTTGCATGTTGCTGTTATATATTCAATAATGGATTCCGTAGACTTTGGGCAAGTTTTTTGGGGGCCTAATGCTTTATTTCGCGCGGTTGGATACGACTTTCAACGGTTGCCACGGCCTTATTGGCGACAGATACTTATGAAAGCAGTTCTTGTATTTATGATCCTCAGCGCCATATGTATCCGCATCTATATGTTTATGTCACTGCGAGAGCTTGTCATAAGAGATGACATTCTGAACAGTTTCCGTTTAGGCGCCTTCATCGCCTATGGTATCGATTCAAACGTGAAGTTTGCATATTTTATTTTTAATGCACACCGTTTACGCCAAATTTACGACTTCTTAGCAGCAGAGTATCCACAAACAGCCAGTGAGCAAAAATTATATAAAATTGATATATACGGTTTTCAAAGGGCACCTGTCATGATTTGTGCTTATATGGCCGTTGTTGCATCGATAATGCTTAGCCCGCTGTTGCAATCAATTGTCACGTATATTATTGATATATATCGTTTTGGTTATGATGCAGCAGAATATCCATATTTGCATCCAATACCAATGCCATACAACTTCGACTATTGTACGCCACGTTATTACATACCCGTTTATATGGTGGAGTCTTTAAATGGTCACTTTAGTTCCACAACTAACTTGGGTACCGATTTATTTATAAGCATATTTTCGGGTCAATTATGTATGCAGTTGGAATACTTGGGCTACTCTCTTGAGACTTATCAACCAAGTATGGAGAAATCAGAGGAAGACTGTGATTTCCTAAGGAAGTGGATTAGAAAACATCAACTAATGCTTGGGTGAGTGTAATTTTCCTATGTAGGTACTGTTTTATTTAACTATTTATCCTTTTATTCAACAATTTTATTGAGGCCGTTTTTAATTAAAATTTTTGCGGAAAAAACAATAATTTTGTTTGAATATTTAAATTCGAAATTTGCAATTGTATCCCGATTAAAATGAGTGAAGTACACAAAAATAATTAAAAACACTATTGCTGTTTTATTGACGAATGGATTTTATTCAAAGAATGGCTGCTTAAAGAAGAAGAGTATACAAAGTATGTTTGAAAATCATTTTAGTTTGGAAGAAAGTGCCTGAAAAGAACTGGCACTTTGTGACACCAAAATGCCAACTTACTTCTCTGCAAATTTATTGATATTACCTGATTCGTCTTTCTCGTGTTGTCTTGCATTATGCTGTTGCAATAGCGGACGATCATGCAACTTTCCAGGCCGTTTTTTTGACAAGTGCCTTTCGCAGTGGTCCCCTGAACAATTTCTGATGTTTTCACAACTTCTTTTCGCAAAAAGCAAATTATAGCTCTTTCAAATTTTGCTGCGTCTTCCATGGTTACAAAAACAGTGCTATGAAAACGCGTCTGTATCACTCGAACACGTAAATCAGACTGGACGATATTGCACTAGATAGTTGCATAAACATGTCAAGACTTGTCGCTCAATAACATTGCCCATGATTCAATAATACAAGGTTGTGTAATTTGTGACAGCTAAAATTTGACACTCCTTTATCTAGATTTGTATTTTGGAAGTAGGAGAAAGGGGAAGAATGTGATCGCATTTTGCGAAAACGGTAGTAGAAAGGTACTAAAAAAGTGCGCAAAGTATACAATTAGAAGTAAAATGTGTATAATTAATTCTATGTGAATTTGCAATATATTTCGTGTTTTAATGGAAATACTAAACAATACATACAAATATGCATTTTTGATTTCAGTTATTCGTCATTTGCTGGAAGAAATCTAGAATACCGACCGTTCAGCTATGCAAAAATGAAAAATGCAGATCAATAGAACTTTTTTGTTCATTTCAACCATGCCAAAATTATTTGGCGCAAGTAAAAAATGAAGAGGTTGTAGAAGGTTAGAGTTCAGTTTTTAGATATTTTAAATATTAATATCTTATGAACTTTATAACCGATTAAAAAGCTAATAGCGTCACCATAAAGGTAATTAATTTGTTCTTCAGCTGATGTACATAATTTATAGCCTTTTGTATTTTGAAACCAAAACCACTAGAAAACGAACAAATATTATTTTTTCATGAAATAACCTTTTTGAAAAAAACTGCATAATTAATGGTAAAGAATTTTATATTATTTAGAAAGTACAAGTTATTATCTTTAATTCGATATTACATATTTTATCATGATCTACTTTTGGGTTTCAACAATTTAGTGATACTAAAAAATACAAATAAACCTTTTATGTCTTCTTTATTTATTACCTGCGCCAAATAAATTTGGTATCGTTGAAATCAGCGTAAAAAGTTCTATCAATCGGCATTTTTGGTTATTTTATAGCTAAACGGTCGCTATTCTACACTTGTTCTAGAAAATTACGCAAACGAATATTTAGTATGAAGAATTTTTGGTTTTACTACTAATATCACTAGAAACTATAGAGTAAGCAACATTCTGCACAAGTAAAGGAGCCGATTTTATGTGTGGGAGCGAGAAGACTGTTTTATTACAAAACCTTTCTATTATTGAATCATGAACATTGCCTATAAGTTCTTCGTAATTTAAATATAGCCCAATTCCCAGAACTTTACAAACATCCCTCGTACATACCCAGTACGGAAAGAAAACAGTTTAAATATCGATGTTCAACCAGTTTTTTATCTACATACCTACTAGTTGAAGATCTGACTTTCTTCCTTGACTTTAACATGGCGTTGTCCCAGACATCAGCCAATTATCCGACTCTGCATTTGATTTCAACTACTTTAAAATGCATTTGGCTTAAATACGCTTCGTTCTGCACTACACAGATGCTGTTTCATAATTAAGAAAGACCGAATATAAAAATTTAAATTGAAATATTCCGCCTAATGAGATTTAAACCTGGACACTCTTGGCCGCAATCAATTGTAACAAGCATCTTTGCGCACTCAGCTACAGGCACAACATGTATGTATGTACTAAGTGTGTTTTCAAATGTTCAGTTTGAATTGTGTGCAAGCATCAAGTCGATTGTCCGACTCTGCATTTGATTTCAATTACTTTAAAATGTATTTGGGTTAAAGCACTTCAATTAAAGTCAGTATGTTTCTTTTGCAGATGTCTTAATTGCCCAAAGTTAGATGTTTTTTCAACTAATATAGAATTATTTACAAAGCCTCAATGAGGCTGCTAGGTGATTATGCATCAATTTGAAATTAGTTGCTACATAACTAGAGAAAAAATTATTTTTTTCTGAGGTAATTGGTTGAGCTGTGCCGTACTGAGTACGTACATACAAATGTACATATACAAGCATAGGCGTCGAGGGATAATATTTGGCTTACAAACCATATGTTTAGCAGTACGCATTCAGTACGAAGTATAACCAAGAAAACGTCAAAGCTTCAGAATTAGAACTTTGCAGGCATCCATTTACAAGCATCTTTCGAAAATATAGTTCTAAATTTTTAAATCGAAGATATAACCGTTTTTTTGGTCATTAATTAGAAATTTCTTTTTCACTTTATGGCTGAAAACTGGACTCTCCCGTACAATAAAGAACGGTTGGTCATCGTATTTAAAGCAAACTAACTAAAAAAATTCAAATAGATTCTTTGGCATTGCTGATGAAGATATGTAAACTAATTCAGTAAACATAGATCTACAAAAATAAGGCCAAATAAATAATTAAACTGTAGTTTGTGTCAAATGAAAAGATGTTTATATTTGTTTTTAATTCGCAATTTCTTTTTTAATGTTTTGCAGTCTCTGTGCAGATCTAGATGAAGTTTTTGGTACAACCCTTCTGTGTAAATTAATAACAAACTGCACCTACTTTTGCATAATTGTTGCTCAGCTCATGCTCGAAGGTTATGGTTATGGTTTTCTTAATTTTGGAAGCTTCTTTTTCCTTACTGTTGCCCAATTTTTTATGGTATGCCAATACGGGCAGAATCTGATTACAATAGTAAGTATCTCAAAAACCTTAAATTTAAATACAGTATTTATGTATGCAACTTGTTAAAAATTTAGCGACACTTATTCGATAAGTCTTAGTATGACTTACAGTAGCACAGTCCAGCAATCACATGAAGTTTTTTTTTTTTTAATATTCGCAATGTTTTTATACCCGCACGTACTTGAGCATGAAGGTAATATTATTACTTTCCAACAGGCTTAAAGAATCGAGATAGATATAGACATACTTATATTCATGTACTGAAAAAAGTCGTCCGTCCATTTGCCGAACAAATATTGAGATATATCAACGAAATTGGATGTGTAGGTTGCGCTTTACCCATGGTAGGTTCGTATTGAAAATGGGCGGAATCGGACAGTAACCACGTCCTCCTCCCCTATAACGGCAATTTCGAAAAATTCGAAAACTGCGATATTTCCGTAAATACTGGCTCCGTTAATTATATTTTCGGCATAAAATAAGCCAATTAAAAATGTTTGGAAAATGTTTGTGGCCCCGTTCTCTTGGATGAAATGTCTCAGAAGCCGCTTTAAGATATCTGTTGAGCATTATTTCAAATTGGGCAATTACCACGCCCACCTCCAATATAACGGTAATCACACTTAAAATCGCAAATTTATAGTAATAACAATATCTTAATAAAAAATACGATTATTTAAGATTTTTGGGAAAAGGGTGTAGTATCGCCCACTTGTGATCACGTACATATGTCAGTGTGATGACCGCTGTATCGTCTTTTACCAAACATGATTCAATTAATTCATTAAAATTAACTCAGAATATTATCGAAAATATTTGTATATAGAAAACGACCCTTCTGATTATATTGTAACGGTAGTTTTATAGGTCCGACGGGTACATAAAGTTCTGTTTCGCCTGAACTTATATATATATACTTACTTCTTAACTTGTTACATATCTCGTATGAAAGATAAACGCATTAATTTTGGTATTTATTCTAAAGATTGATGTTGATAACACTCGCTGATGTTTAACAAAAATTCCATTGATTGTAGAGCGAACATCTGTCATTTTCGGCTTACAAAAACCGCTGGTACAATGGTTCGAAGGCGTACAAAAAAATGATATTAACGATAATTACGCGTGCGCAAACTCCGGCCAATTTGACTGCAAAAGGATTTCAACCCATCTCGCTGCTAACCTTTCAAATTGTAAGGACCTACACTTTTTTTTATTATGCGTGCTTTTGTATTTTGCTTACTCGATTATATTTACTTGCTTATGTATATATTTATTTTTACAGGTAATGTCCGTGACTTATCGTGTATTTGCCGTGTTGCAGCAGGTCTTTGATTAACTTCGTGCAAACGTTTACTACACTGCTCAACTACAAAAAATTTATTTTATTAAGTATAAATTAATTATTTATGAGCACACAGAAATGAAGAAAATACAAAAGTACACAACTAAACACCTATAAAAATATTGCAAGGAAATGTAAGTGGCCGAGGCGTAAGTATGTATGTACATAAGACTCTCACAAATAACCAAAGTTCTTTTCTTTAACGCATACTAATTTTACTGGTTTTATATTAAAAACTATCCGAATAAAATTTTAAGCAAATTGGACCACGGCAACCCATGCCGACTTGCGGTCAATGTTATCAGAATATGCTTTGTGCAGTTTGCGTGTTTTGTTAATTTACACATTTTTTTCTGTATAAGACGGTATTACTATACAGCGTGGCGACGAATAACTGTTACCCCAGTTTTTTTGAAAAATTAAAGGGTCCTTTATAGATTTAGCGATTAAAGTATTTTATTTTTAATTTTCCACAGATTTTACTTTAGTTGTATTAATTAGTTATTAAATTTTAATCCTTATTTACATTTACCAGCAGTTTAAACTTTGAGAGAAAAGTTCATTTGGCACGCAAGTCTTTTTCAGGTGTATTTTTTCTTAGGCTTTGTATAAAAAAAATACAAAAAAAGAAAAAACTGTATAAGGCTGGTCGAATGAATGGCCGTCCTAGTCACCAATTCCGAGTCTATTCGATTTTTGTGTATGAGGCCTTATGTTGGACAAAAGGGGGAGTATAAGGGACTAAAAATGAAGAAAATTACCTTATGGTTACAGAAGATATGGATTAAATTAACCGACGAAGGCATGCGTGCCAAATGAACTTTTCTCTCAAAGTTTACACTGCTGGCAAATGTAAATAAGGGTTAAAATATAAAAACTAATTAATACAACTGAAGTAAAATCTGTGGAAAATTAACAATAAAATACTTTTTTCGCAAAATCTATAAAGGACCCTTTTATTTCTCAAAAAAAATCTGGGTAACAGTTATTCGTCGCCACGCTGTACTCCCGACAGTATTAGAACATAATATTTAGTAAATCTCCGCTTTTAGTTTTTTTACTAGGAAAGAAGGATATTAAGTTATAGTATATTTCCAAAATTTTACACAAAATATGGTTATATGGGAATCAGTTGAAAGAAGAATTCTAAACAAGATCAAATTATAACTTTTGTTTTCAATTATCCTCTTGCAATATGCCGGCCGCTGTGGTGTAGTGGTAAGCAGTGCGCGCTTCCACTCCGCTGCGCCTGGGTTCAAACCCTGGTCAAAGCGACATCGAAAAAAAAATATAGAAAAAAGGTTTTTTTCTTAACAGCGGCGGTCCCTCGGCAGACAATGGCAAACCTCGGAGTGTATTTCTGCCATGAAAAACAGTTCTAATAAAAATACAATCGCCGTTCGGAGTCGGCGTAAAACTGTAGGTCCCTCCGCTTTGTGTGACAACTTCAAGGCGCACGCCACAAATCGGAGGAGAAGCTCGCCAAACACTAACATATGTGTAAGCGCCTATTATTATAATATGTAAAAAAATGTCCCTTAAAAATATTATCTTTGAAGATTTGAAATTTTGAATGCATTTTGAAGAATCTTAGTTCAATTAAAATCCTATGAATATGTATATGGATGTTAAAGGATACAATTTTTAAAGAATATTTTTCAAATGCTTTAATTAATACTTCCACATTTGTTTCTTAATCAACCTGAGATGACATGTCAAACAAACACTATACCACTTTATTTTGTTTATTTAATATTATAAAAGGCATTTTTTTAAGGAGGAAAATAATTTGTTATACATATACATTAGACTGCATCACCAAAATATGTTGCGTTTTTTATGCCGGGATTACAAAATTTATTATATATTAAGACGCCGTCCACCAAAATATTTCGGAAAAATATTAAGATTTACGTGAGCTGCACCGATTTGAAAATACCTCCAAAAATGGAGGTTTTTATTAATAAAAATAGTTTCTTAAAGAACTTTTTGAAAAAAATCCCCTCAGAAAAACTAAAAATATTTTCAACAAAATCGTAATATTCAGATTTTTGATGCTGTTTTTTTAACTTTTTTCAAAGACTACTCTGATTTAGACGTATGTGGTCTCAGTAGAAAGGCATTTTCCCACTCTTTTTATTTCTGTGCACAAAAAAGCTCATTCACGTCCCAATTTTTTTTTTTTTTTTTTCAAATACCAACACATCTTAATGCAACTTGAAATAACGCTCGTTCGTCCTACCTTTCTCTTCCATCCTTTGAATGAGTTTATTAGCAAATAAATAAAAAGGCTGAGAAAATACCTTGCCAATGATACCTCACAAGTCTAAATCGGAAGAGTTTACGTTCAGTTATTCAAGTTTTTCTTATACCAATCTTTGGAAAAAGTTAAAAAACAGCATCAAAAATCTCATTATTACGATTCCGTACAATTTTTATTTTTTTATTATTTTTTTTTTTATGTTTATGTAAGTTTTTTAGGCTTAAACCGTTTTGTCGTTTGAGGGGATTTTTTTTCAAAAAACCATTATTAAGAAACCATTTTTATTTATATAGTGAAGAAAGTGATGATAATGCAGAAATTTTAACTGAAGATAAAACTCAAAACAATATTCTCTGTGTTATATGCCATGGCGGAATTATACCAGGTGAAATAATATCAGAGTGAGTAGAAAGATTTTGACACTGCCTTAATTGAAAACATGCTTATAAATGTGACTATAAGACAGCCGAATGTCAGAAAATAAAGCGAGAAAGCTGGTTTATTACTTCACCTGTTTATTGCGCCATTCATGAGAGTAGGTAAAATGTTACATATTTTTACATCATTACTTCGTACCACATGTTCGCTTCGTCTTCGTAAACGAAATCCACTGCAGTAAATCTGGACTACGACAAACTCCAGAACAGCTCAAAATGTGTTAATCGGTTAAAACCATTCCCAGAATAAAACTTTCAAAATCCCACGACAGCCCGTTCCTAGGGTTGCAAATCACAATGAGACTATCGATGTTTGAGGAATCGATGTTTCGAAAAATTACATCGATGGTAGCTCGATGTATCGAATTAAAGTATCGATGTTTTTACCAATGTTTTAAGGAAAGCTTGCTATTTTTTTTAGAATATTTCACACAATTTTAAATTGGATTTATATTGTTTTTGTTAAAGAATGAACTAAATTTTTATAAAAAAAATCTAAAATTAAATACGAAAAAAATGTATTGTTAAAACTTGTGGTGGGTTTTTATTTTGAAACGATGTTTAGTTTTAATGTAAATGTATTAAAATTTAGTTAGTACTACACACGGTCCGCCCGCTTTTCATTCGATGGCGAGCTAGTCGGCGATTCGATACGAATTAAACTATTTCTTACTTATACACACATGAACATTTATTAAATGGAATTTCTCGACACATCGATGTTTCTTTACATCCCTACCCGTTTCACGCAAGGGAATGACTCTGGTGTTTCCCCACCAAGGGCTGTTGTTTCTGCGACATAACCTCCGTTTGGATCGGCGAACCTTATCTATCGTTTCTCGCCCTTCCACTCCGTATCAGAAGCACCTTCATCCGAACTCCACTTCGGTGAGGTGCAACACTTGCAACGGATGGAATCAACTAACAACCTGCTCTTGCCCTAGGTCACATAGGGAATGGATCCCAATGTTTGTGGCCACATATTGCTGAAGCTTTACGGCACCACGCGCCCACGCGGCCCCGTTATAGCGTAACACACGAGTACGAACCAGCACCCCGGCTCCTCTTCACATGCCCACTCAGCTAACACCACCTACATACATAAGTGAAAATAATGCTACTCATACGGCAAGTATGTCCGCTATTTTCTTTTCTTTTGTTTTTGATGTTAGTCGGAAATTTGGCTTGGTCCCAGGCCCTGCGGAATGGTAGTGCGAACTTCTAACCACAGCGACCTTCGTCTACAATCTGGTATTTTTATCAGAGCTTTTGCGGTTGGTCAAAATTTATTATGGATGGTTTTTTTTTCAACCTGTGATTAAATTGGAAATTTTAACTGACGCAACATTTCATTTGCACTAATTTCGCTGGCCTTCTTTCAATTAGAACTCGTTGTGAAAAGGGGACTACCTTTATTTATGTTCATAGTATGGGTATTCGTTTAAACGCGTAAATTTTCAAAATGCCTACGTTTTATGTAGATATTCTTCTGCAAAGCTCACCTTATACTTGGTTTTTTTTATTAATGCAGGGTCTCCACCTTGCAATTCTGCAATATAATTCATGCTCCCGAAGAACGTTTCGTGTATAATGAAACTTTACATATAATCTTTTGTTGTTTTACTTGGAGCGACTATTCGTCGAGCTTTTAAAAAAATTTGAATTTTTTCTTGTTATTTTCTTTTTAGCTTTTTGCGATAGAAAACTGACGAGATTATAAATCTGTGTACTAATGTTCAAACCCATTTTCAGCTTTGTCAGGTTTTTATACAGATGCTGCGGAAGTAAAGACACACCGATTATTCGTTTGAACCACTGTATGGAAATATTTTCAAAATGCGTGAAAGAAAAAATATAAATTTTTCAAAATAGCAGTCTTGTGTAATGAGCAAGGATCACACAATTTGGTTGTCAAGAAATTTTTATGGAGAATGAGTTCAGCCATGATTCAAGAATTAAAGGTTTGCCCATTAGTGACATTCGAGTTTTGACTGACACTCCCTTAGCTCCCTTACAAAAGCTTTGCACACACACACGAAAGGTTTTGAGCAAACCTTTTATTATCGAATCATGGCGTTCAGCTCAATAAAAAACAAAAAAATAAAAAAAAACAAGCCCACTCTGTAACTTTCAAAATTTACCAATCTGTGCTAATGTACAAGTCGTGTGATCTCTGCTTAAGAGTTTTCTTTTCACATTAGTAAAAAACAGCCTTAATTATTATTCAATAATTTAATGTAACTAAATAACTTATCGTTCGCTGTTTCTGTTTTTTTTTTATTCTAAAATTTTGTCCAGAAAATATAGCAGCATGTAAAGATGTCAAAAATATAAAACAAAATATGTAAAAAAGGAGCATGAAGAAGAAAAAGTAGAACGGAAATAGTATGACTTTTTGTACATACTCACTAACTGATGCGTGCAAAATGCAATCGAACCCGTCAAGTCACTTACTGCGACATGTTGGCCTATTTATTTAAGGAGGCCATAATATAACCAAAAGATTGCTGCGGTGCGTATTTACATGCAAGGAAATATGTATGTATACCAACAAAAACAATGTGCATATTGAGCAGTAAATACCTAACTATACCAAAATACTAACAAAATCATCTTTTTTAAAGTACCGACTGTGGTCCGATTTGTTGTCGGCAACAAATGCAGATATTCATTCATTCACTTACACCCACGTTTGACAACCTTAAATATACCTTCGTATGTAACAAGTTGTTTATTCTTCTCCGGTACTCACTTTCACACGCCCACAGAGCACACACAGCATATGTATGTACATTCATACAGTGGTCGAGAAAATTATAGCCGCACCACATTTTGACAAGTTTTAACATATTATTTGTTTTGTAATTTAATTTGGGTTATTTTTTATAAAAATATAGTTCAGTCTTTAACATAAAATTCAACAAACTTTCGTAAGAATTTCAACTTTTTTTAATTAGATTTCCTAAAAGATTCTGAGTATGCACTCTTGTAGCCCATTGAATTCGAGTAGAACAAAGTGCAAGTTTCAAATAGCTAAAAATTGCCGTTAATTTTTTAGAATTTTTTTCACCGCCATTTGCTCCCATATAACGAATAAACACAATTTGTTTTTATATGGAAGAAACCCATAACATATTCGACAAAAAAAAATTCTAAAAAAGCAACGGTAATTTGTACTATTTTCTACTAGAATTCAATGAGTTACAAAACTGTATACTCAGAATATTTATAGGAATTTTAAATAAATATAATATAATTACCATTTTTTTTTTTTTTTAATAAAAAATAAAATGAAATAACAAATAAATTAAAAGGGCAATTCATATAGACGCGTAAATGCCTCGTAACCATGTAAAGCACGTAAGCTAACTAAATTTTGTATGGAAAATCGGTCTATTTACGAGGTTTACGCGGCTGCGAGGTATTTACGCTTTTCCATGAATACCCATAATATGTTAAAACTCATCAAAATGAAATGTGGCTAAAATGTTTTCGACCACTGTATGTACAAGGTTGACTACCATTTCATTTGCTACCATTTCATTCCGTGTTATCCCGTTCTGCCTAAAATGTTTCATTGCCGATTTCTCATACAGCGTTCTTTCATCGTTGTGTTCCGTCTGCACTTTTCCATGTCCCTAAGTTGGTCACTAAAAATAGCTGGCCAACCCGAAGCAGCAAACATGGTCTTCCACACCAATACTAATATCTTTTCGTTGCATCCATTGTGGCAGCAGCATTGGCTTCTAACGTCGGAATAGGAAACAGTTGCAGTGTGCTGTAACATTGTGTGGGTGTTACAGCGCAACAGTCGTAGCCAGTTGGCCATTTGGCTGCAACGCTACAATTCAACAACGCTCTGTGCTAGTGACACTTATGCAGAAAAAGCACCAGCGTATGAGGCTGCATCAATGCAAATGACAGCAATACAATTCTTCGTTTACAACAGGAGAAGCAGAAATTCGTAATTTCGTTATTTTCGATATTCGCAGTCTTCATCACCGTTGTCATTGTTTGTGAAGTGTACTTTACGGGGCTGTATTTTGATTTCTGTAGGAATCAGTAGTTCGGTCGGTCGGTAATTCGGCTGCTCGGTCGATGTTAGTTGAGTGTCGCGAGTGATGAGTTCGTGTTACTAATTTAATTTTCGTTTCGCTTACCGTATTGTATTACATTTTCTACTGTGCTTTTATTAAATTAACTACAATATGCAGCATCGAAAAGTCATATGCGATTTCAAGTGATTAAGAGCAGTATTCGGTTGGTTCGGTTGCTGTACGCTTTTTGCGTTAACAGCTACAATACTACGGAGCTGTTACATTTGAATTTCAAAGTTTCGTATTTCAGATAACAATTTCGGACTACATATTTCCGTACTTAAAGGTTTAGGCGCGCTTTTCCATTGAGTAAAGAAGCGGAGAATATTTAAAAAAAATTTTGACTGGTAAGTAATATATGTATGTGCATATGTATGTACGTACATATATAAATTGTTATTGTACAGGGAATTATTTTAAAATATAAATTTTGTGGGGAAAACGCATTCAAAGTTTAATCAGTTCATACAGTTCATACATATCTTCGCCATTCTTGGGAAGTTCTAGTTATCTGCTAGATAGGACATATTCTCCTTATGAAGCCTATTAATTGTATGATGAAAGCTCCAAAAGCGTATTTGGTATTCGGTCTCTATATTATATTAAACGTGCTTATATTTCACGTACATACATACATACTTCTAGCCAAGGCATTTAAATAGGTAGCAACAGTAAAACAGCTGATTTGATTTTTTACAAATTATTTGGTCTCTAAACTGTGAAATATGGTTAATTTTTTCGACAATAATTCTTACAGCCGGTTTCACTAGAAATTTAAATGGAAAATTATTTTTTATTTTCTGTCAATTTCCATATTAAATTCAAAAAATTAAAATAATTTTTACTTAAATCACTTTAGTTAAATTGGCAGTTAATTCACAAAATGTATTTGCATGCGAATCCTCAAAAAAGCGATTGAAAACCAGCCTTTAAAACGTTTGATTAAATCAGGAGCATAGTCACTGATTACACTGGTTTACAGCAAAAATGTTCTATGGATGCCACTATTCAATTTCTATGTCGAATTGCTCGGTGATTCAGAAAATCGAGTTAATTTTTTTTTTCTGTGGATACCTTTTCGAGATATTTTCAGTTTATCGTTATTCAGCTTAAAGCAAAAATTGGTTCCTCTTAATCACGTATATCTTACGAACCAATTTAAAAAATCTTTATATAAAATACGGCAAATGAAAGGTAATGAAATTCTCCATAAACCGTATATACATCACTTTCCGACAGGGATTATAGTTTCTGAAAAATTAATTAATCATTCCAGCTTTTTTTATTTTTTAATGACAAAATTAAGAACAAGTGATTTTTAGCAAAAAAAACCGACTTCAACTCTCATATAAAAAAAAAAATATATATACATATATATATATCTCATGATCCGCTGATCGGATCTTAACCAGATTAGTATGGGACCACCTCTGAGCACTACCTTTCCGATGCAGAATTATCGAGATCGGTTGACGTGGTCCAAAGTTATGCGGTAACATACCTAAAAAAAAAAAAAAACTGATAACCTCCTCCTTTTTTGGAAGTCGGTTAAAAATTTAACTTTAACAGAAGAAAAATTAAAAAAATTACAGGTTCTGTGCCAAATTTTTACATTTGTACTAAAGCCTATTCTATTATAAACAAAAAAACATAATTACTAATGAAGAACATCGATGGATAAATAAGAAATAATGAGTGGTAAAATGAAAATACGCAAATGTTTTTTGTATGAAAAATTAGCAGGAAAGAATGTTACTCATACGCCACGTACACCTGAGTAGCTCGCTCTCCTGCTCATATTTCATACAAAAATCTTTGCGCACTTTCATTTGACCACGCATTATTTCGTATTTATCCATCGATTTTCTTCGGTACGTTACAGAACAGGCTTTAATACAAATGCAAAAATTTGGTACAGAATCTGTTATTGTTTTAATTTTTCTTCTGTTGAAGTTTGATTTTTTTTTTCATTTTTTTATTAAAAATTAAAAGAAACTGGAATTTGTCAAAAACTATGAGTGGAATTATCTCGAAAACGTTTCCATAGAAAAAAAAATTAACCAACCCGATTTTCGGAATCACCGACCAATTCTACATAGAAATTGGATAGTGGCCTCTGGAGAACAAAAACCAAACAAAACTGCATTTAAATATGCCACGTATTTTCAACAGAAATTGTTGAAAAATGGCGAAAACCGTGTCAATGTGAAAAGTTTTCCCACTTTTTGCTTATTATTTACAATAAAACCTTATTTATTTTTTTTAAAGCTTATATCGATGGCTGAGTGGAAGATCGACCTATCTCGGCAGCCAGTTCAAAAACGCCCTATCTCAGAAAACTTTTCAAGAACGCCCTACTTCAGAATTTGGTTGAATAACGCCCTATCTCACAATTGGGATCAAAAACGCCCTATCTCAAACGAAAATACATTGAAAATAAGCTGGCTGAGATAGGGCGTTTTTGAATCGGCAGCTGAGATAGAACGAAGTTGAACAATTTTCTGAGATAGGGCGTTTTCGAACTGGCTGCCAAGATAGGTCGATCTTCCACTCAGCCATCGATATATAAAAAATATGGGAAATTAAATTTTCCAAAAATTGTATGCAACCGTTTTTACGTAAAATGCAAAATAAGGTTGCAAATCGCAAAAAAAAAACCAAAAAAAAACCTAAAACTCAAGATGGCGGAATGTTCCCATATGTAATTTAGAGGCAAGACTGTGGATCCGTGATCTAAGTGTCAAATAGAAGTACACTGCATCAAATATTCGCTACTACAATTTTATCTCTTTGTACCAATTTGGTCTAAAGATACTCTGCTAAAAATAAAGATTAAATTCAAACAAAACTACATCAAATACCATTAAAACATATTAAATTGCACACTGGCTTATAGGCAATTTTGACCACTTTGTGAAAATTTCATGAAAATGCAGAACTTTAGGGCCTTTGGCAAACGTCTTTCCGTTATCCGATTTTAAAAGTTTTTCGCAAGGCACGTTTTTAACGAAATTAACCTGTCTGGGGGGAGTCTTGTTTTGTAGGACAAAGTTGCAAAATAAGGTGCAGTCTAATGTACATACGCACATGTGAACATAAACGAGTTTTGTATTAGATAGCGTTTAGAGCATTAGCGCACACAAGGGGTGGGTTTTGGAGTTCATAGTTTTTTTCATTTTCTACTTGTAAAATAAACATTTCTAAATTAAATGTATTTTTGATTATTTTGCGGTTTTTGTCTTTTTTCAGTGTCTTCTTTTGCCTTTTTTTGCGGTTCTTGGTGACTTCCTGCCATTTCGCTGTTATATTTTGCCTTTTTTTTTAAGATTTTTTGGTCTTAAAAATCCGTTCCCTGGCAATAACAAACGGACTAACAAAATGTTTCTGTCAACAATAAAATAAAAGAATAAGAGCTTAGCTAGCTCGAATGCTACTTATAAAAGCATGTATATAGTATTTATGGTTGCATGCACACTAATATATGGATGCATTTGGATGTACATACATATGTAGGTATGTACTTACATTAGAGTAAATCGAAGTTGCTTCCTTTTTTGTGTCGTAATAGTGACACTACCCTCAGGTGAAAAATTATCAATTCATAAAAATAACCAACTTGTAGTTAGCTTTTTGCCGAATTTCGATAAATACCTCAACCAACTTAAAGTGAGTTGTAAAGTCGTGCAACAAGTTTCTATTTAAATATCCTCATATAAACATTACTTTATGGCAGAAATACGCTCAGAGCTTTGCCATTACCAGCCCAGAGCGACCGCTATGAGAAAAAAATTTATTTATGATTTTTTTGATGTTGGTCGAAAAATGGACTTGAGCCCAGGCCATACGGAATGGCAGTGCTCACCTCTAACCACTACACCACAGAGGCCGTAATACAAATAATTACTTGTTATTGACTTTATTAATAAGGTTTTTCTCCTTCCACGAAGAAACCCAAAAAGATATCACTTTGGTTATATTTTATTAGAAATTTTTTTTTTAATGCCTGACTTTATGGAATTTTTGGAGTGTGAGAAGAGTTGCGGAATTTTATGGCCATACCGTATTGTCATGATTTTAAGCATGATAAAAACATAACAAGGTAAAACCATTGAGAGGCAGTCTGACGTTTGCCAACAATATAATTTTAAAATCAAAACTCAAACTCACACACACATTCTCATTTTCAATCTCAAACAACAACAATTGTGAACAATTTAATTTTTTTATTTTCAATTTTATATGATTTTAAAATGTTGGCAAACGTCAGAAAAAAATCATGGCCGACGAAATGAGAGAATGAATTTACCTTGTAATGTTTTTATCATGATTTTAAGCTTTGCACTGTTTTTATGCTTCCAAGTCTCACTGGGTGTTCATAAATTGCATATGCTATGCTCATCCATGTATGTATGTATATTAGGGTGGTCCGTAAATGTATGTAGCACATTTTTACATCAGATCTCCTAAACCTCAACCCCTTCGTCGATGCGACTAAAGTCGAAGATTTCACATATAAATTTTGGTCGCACGCGGGAAAAGTACAAATTCCTCTATAGAGAGTGAAAAAATTTTAATTAATGATTTTTTTTATCTAATACCCATAACCATACCATAGTCGAAGATATCACATATAAATTTTGGTCCCGGTTGGAGTCGTGTCGCAAAGAGGTATGGCATAGTTATCTGTGACCGTGGTATTACCGATTTAGGGGGTGAGATTGAAAAAAATCGCTCTTTTGATTTTTAAGGACCGTCCTTATGCACATACATGCATACACATTTGCTTATGTGTAACAGATGTATCCCACCAGATAATTTTTGTTGGCGGCAATAAGAAAACGTGTCGCCCTCAGCAACAAATTTATCGCCGGTAATATCGCCAACGTAACCATTTTTTATTACCAGTCGCTCTAAAACGTCCGCCGAAGGCAACTCGCCTGGGCGAATGAGTCGTTTTCTTATCGCTTTTTTATTGCTGTAGGCGATATTTGGAAACATTTTTTTTCTTTTTAATACTTCATTTATTTTTTTTTTGTCTAAAAAATTGGAACTTAATAACGGAATTAAGTCTTTCTCTCGCTATGGGGCTTCTATTTTTTCCATCTTATCTCTGGCATAAATTAGATGCTTTTGGATATTACTGTTGACGCGAAATTCATAAGTTTGGAAATTTTTGATATCCTATTTATTCCAAAATTGACATGAAAGAGAAGTTGTTGCCGATTTGTTACCACAGCAATAAGTCGATGAGTCGCCAATTTGTTGCCATTGACGATTGTTGCCTATTCCTCATGTTTTTCATGGTGGGTATGCATCTACATATATGAATGTATACATACGTATGCGT